AAAAAAAAAAAAAAAAAAAAAAATTTTTTTTTTTTTTTGTGTTTTTTTTTTTTTTTTTTTTGCTACTAATTCATCTTGGTATTAACATAGACCTATATATTTCAAGATTAAGATGAAAATTGGGAATTGCATTAATTGCTGCTGTCTACCCCAATTTTTTTTTATCATTTGTGCTAGTTCCAATTGTTTTATAGATTATCTTGTTTTAGAGCTATAAAAACTAGTGTTGAAATGCTGAGAGGCTGTGAGCTAGTTCTTTCCGAGCGGTGTATTTTGTACGACCTATGTACCGCTTTGTTTTTTTGATAGTCGTGAATTTTTGATGTCTGATTTCAGCGGGTAAGGATGGAATAAAAGTGCGTACTGTTACTCTGGACTTTCATCACCGAGCTGGGTGACTTGATTCCTAACAAGACCTTTGGGTTTTTCAATAGCAGTGGTAAATTTAGTTGCTATGAGGAGTTGGAAGGGATGTTCCGATGTATATTTTAGCATAGGAGGCGTTTACCAAAGCTGAGGTTCAGTTTTAGCGGGGTGTTGGTTAAGGCTGTTACAAAGGTGGGGGATGGTTTTGCGGAAAAGCTTAGGAATTTTTGTAAATCCGTCGCGGAAGACCTGTTTCAGCGTCTTGACACTTTTCGTTGCAAGGTTTTCTGCGGAGGGTTACCGTTGTTGCAGCGTTTCTGCAGTTGTAGTCTCAAGTATGAGCTGTTCGGATGGCCCTTTAATTTTAGCATTGGGAATCTGGTTGGAACCCAGCTTCCCGCTTGGTGGTTGTGACAAAGTAGTTTAATCCTGACTTTCGGTATATTCTTTCTAGTCGAATAATTTTCACTTCATCTTACTAAGCGACATCTGGCAGACAGTGAGGTAAAGGATGCGCCTTTGGTGGGAAGTGGGACTGCTTGAAGAGATGATTTAGTGTGGTTTGCAACTTTGTTTCAGTTAAGGCGCAGAATCTCACTGTACTTCGTGGTGAATTTACTTTCGCGAGACTATGGGCATAGTCCTTCTGAGGACAGGTATACTGCAGTTTGGTGCTCAAAGTACACCTCGTCTCGCTGATATAATGCCTGCCGGCTTTAGGCACCAGATAATATAAATGTTTTATGAGAACAGTGACATACAAACATTAAATTTTTGGTGGATAAAGTGAAATCATAAAACAAAACTCGATGTGGTAGAGAGGTAAGAGAATATGATTTGCAAGCAAAGAAAAGTTGCATGAAGGTGCAAGAGTAGGTAATGACGTACTAAACGGTGTGATGAGGTTACTGCACAGCACAACATTGGCAGCAAACAGTCTTACGGTTATTCGCTAACTTTCCTCTTTTGGTCGAAAATTATTTTTCTGATGATGGAAATTGAATATTTTTCGCAGTATTGTGGGACTAAAATTAATACGCTTCCTCATAAAGGCAAAGGAGGGAAATAGAGGCCTGTTCTTTACCAAAGAAGAAAATCCTCAAATGCAGGCTGTCATCAAGCGATTTAGTCATCGTCAGTTGTCGTTGTTTATGAAGTCCACTTGCAGTTCGGTGGATATTACTCGTCAACTTCCAGCAGCAGTCAATTCTAGGATTTTATCCTTTTAGTGGTCAATCTACAACTGGTCCAGCTTTGTGTGCAGAATATGTGAAAGTCATGTCTTTTGGCTATGTTTCAGTATGGTAGCCTTATCTCCTTGGTTGGTTGCAATGAGACAGCCACACTTATTACGATTAGAATTGGTTGGATTGATTGACTGAAAAGAAAAAAAAGGTAGGGTCATCAAATTAAAAAATTTTTATTTTTAGATAAGCACTAGTTAGTCTGTCAACTAGTCTGTTGCTTCGGTTCGATTCCTGTATTATTTTTCAGAACAACTTTTTTACCTCACGTTGTTTTGAAGTCACCAAATATTCACCAAATACCTCAAATTGCGATCAAAATTTGGTACTCAAATATACCTAGATATTTGACAGTGTTGATATATCTCGGGAAAACAAACTAACCTTTTTCAGTTTTTTCTCTTGCAAAACACTTAAGGGATGGTGGGGAGAGCTTTACTTATATTGTCTGTACAACTAATTAGAAAAAATCCACATTTCAAAATCTTTAGAAATGAGATGTTTAAATTCAAACTGCTGTAGATGGTTGCAGCAAAAAAAGTGCTTTTGTATATAAAGCAGAAGTTGAATTGCTAACAGTAGCTTTCTCAAAAGTACTGTGATGAGTTGTGAGCAATTTAAAAAATTATTTCAGATAAGATTCATGAAGATTCTTATTTTTATGTTGCTAAAACTGCAAGGCTGAATTTCGGATTTTATGAATTTACTGCACCTTAAATCTTCTGTTTTTTTTTTTTTCTTTCTTCAAAGGAAATTCAAGAATGGCAAGAAAATTTACCGAGTATTACAGCCACTTTTTAAAACTTTTGTCAGCTCATGAGCAGAGCGATTTAAAATGTTATTTTGAGTAATTCAAGTAATTATTAGAGGTTTAGCTTTAGGTATTTTTTGAAACATATATTTATTAAAGTAATTTCTAATGTTAGCCAGCCACTTATGTGGAAGATTTGTGTAAAACTGACTGTTCCACTGCGCTACAGTCATTTTGAAATAATCTTTCAGCTATTTGTGCAACTCTTTTCATTCTTTTTTTTTTTTGTTTTTTTGTCTTCCTGAATGAAAAAGTTGATGGCCAAAACAGTGATGACTCTGTGGTTCATTTTGAAGCAGTAAAGAAAAAAGAAGGTAGGTCAGGATTTTGGACGAGTAGTTTGACAACTGGCGATAACGTTGCCTAGTGCAGGATTTTTCACGACAAATGGTGGACCACAGTGTCCCTTTATTTTGCTCAGCTTATTCACTTTCTTGCGCTTTAAGTAAATTTTTCAACTGAATGCTCGTATATTCTTTCCTTTTTCTATTCCCTTTTTTCTGCGATTCTAGAAACCTATCGACAATAACAGCACTTTTTTAGTTCAGCGTTTTCTTTAAAAAAAACCAAATTTTACTATTTGATATTTTTCGGCGTCAGCATTCATTGTTCCATCAAAAAGTTGCACATAACTTTGACTCTTCTTTCGCCTAAAAATTCTTGCTTTTGCGAGATGATTCAGAAACTGGAAGGACACCATTCTTGGCTACAACAGTTCAAAAAGAAAAATATTTTTAGTTTGCTATGTGATTTTTTTTAACGCCATAAAATGTTGAAAAAAATATGCACTTTAAGTGTCATATGATCGTAAGGCTTATTTAATTCTGACAAATTAACAGTATTTATGTTATTCGTTCTTCTAAAATTATTCAGCTACAGTTTTTAACCGTATCCTATATGGTTGAGTACAAAAATTTTTATGACCCACACCAAAGATGGTTGAACCTCTGAGCAATTATATTAGGCGAAAAACGTGGGTGTTGATCGTTATTTGTGGCTATTTACAATCAAATACTTTTTGTTTCATCATTTAGGTATGCTGAATTTGCATGAAAGCTTCTAATTTTTTCGTGAAATGCACTTCAGACTTTTTTCATACAATTCTTTTCATTCTTTTTTTTTTCGCGACAAAGTGAAAGTTTAAATTAAACGGCAGTCAAGCACTGGTAGTTGTAAATTTTTGTTTTATTATAACAGAAGCATAAACTTTATGGTTAAAATGAATCTGTTTAAATAGTTGAGTACAAATTTTTAAATTGATAAAGCTGATAAATCAGTAAATTAACAAAACATTTTGCTTTTTGAGATAGTCGAACAGGAGAGTAAATTGTAATTTTGTGACTTAGTCTTACTGCTACACGAAGTGGCTCATAAAACTAAGTCTCAAAATGGTCAGATCGACGCAAAACTTTACTCAACCAGTTGGAACACTTTGTCTTTTAATTTTTCACGTATTTCTTCTATTCCTCTGAAAATAGAAGATCAGTTGAATGGGTCAATTTGTTTAGCAATTTGTTATATGGATATGAAAAAGTATAGTGCTTATTTGGTAGGAAAAAGACCCAAAATTATTTGTAGTTACCGTTACAGTATTAACAGAGAAAGTTGATTTCTGAAAAAAAAAAAGTTGTTTTAGGTTATCACTTAATCACAATAAAACAAATAAATTTTTTTTTTGTTGATTTATCTGATGGGCAAACCAAATAAATATAAGAGCAAATACGGTAATTCATCTTTTTCTCCTTCTAAAGTCCTATTCAAGTCGGTTTATTTGTTTAGTATTCTTTTCCTGGGTAGGTTTTTTTTCTAGAATTATTTTGGAACAAATACCTTTAGCAAATACATTTATGTGCCTATAGAAAAATGCTTTATTCTGCAAAAAGAGCACTTGTTCTTTGTTTTTTTTTTTTTTTTCACTTTTGAATTCTTTTCTTTGCATGGTTTCAAATCATGATATCAGAGGATTTCGATAGCAGTAATTGGATACCTTCAAACTGCGTTACACGATTAATATGTTGATAATACGAGAAACTTATTCAATTGATGGAAAAAATGAAGTGCAAATATGATGAAAATTGATCCAAGGGACACTGATGAGTGTCCAAAGATCGAATATCAATTTTGGTGCACAACAGAAAACAAAGAATGGCTGACAAAAATTATAGAATTGGCTTGAGTAGGTCGATTAGGCAGAGTAATAAGGTGATGATAGCCGACCGATAATCCTTAGAAGATTGCTGTTGACATTGGTAACAAACTTTAAATGTGTAAACAAATAAAACTTCGCTTGTTTTTCTCTGCTTACTAACAAAAAAAAAAACAGATGAAAAGTTATCTTAGTTTAATGAGTGCAAAAATAAGAGTCTTTTTTTTTTGGTTGAAAGAAAACAAATTTTTTATGTCAAGGAAAACCACTCTTTTTTTAAAACTATAAAAAAGTTTTTATAATTTTATGAATAGTTAAGTTAAAGCAAAGTTACTGAAAACAGTTGGTTTTATAATCAAATTGTATTTTTCA